GGGGAGGTATGGACCCGGGCAGGTATGGACCCGGCAGGTATGGACCCGGCAGGTATGGACCCGGCAGGTATGGACCCGGCAGGTATGGACCCAGGCGGTATGGACCCAGGCGGTATGGACCCAGGCGGTATGAACCCGGGAGGTATTTACCCGCCAGGTATGGACCCGTCAGGTATGGACCCGGGAGGTATGGACCCGGCAGGTATGGACCCGGCAGGTATGGACCCGGCAGGTATGGACCCGGCAGGTATGGACCCAGGCGGTATGGACCGAGGCGGTATGGACCCAGGCGGTATGAACCCGGGAGGTATTTACCCGCCAGGTATGGACCCGTCAGGTATGGACCCGGCAGGTATGAACCCGGCAGGTATGGACCCGGCAGGTATGGACCCGGCAGGTATGGACCCGGCAGGTATGGACCCGGCAGGTATGGACCCGGCAGGTATGGACCCAGGCGGTATGGACCCAGGCGGTATGGACCCAGGCGGTATGGACCCGGCAGGTATGGACCCGGCAGGTATGGACCCGGCAGGTATGGACCCAGGCGGTATGGACCCAGGCGGTATGGACCCGGCAGGTATGGACCCGGGAGGCATGGACCAGGCAGGTATGGACCCGGCAGGTATGGACCCGGCAGGTATGGACCCACCAGGTATGGACCCGGCAGGTATGGACCCGGCAGGTATGGACCCGGCAGGTATGGACCCGGCAGGTATGGACCCGGGAGGTATGGACCCGGCAGGTATGGACCCAGGCGGTATGGACCCAGGCGGTATGGACCCAGGCGGTATGGACCCGGCAGGTATGGACCCGGCAGGTATGGACCCGGCAGGTATGGACCCAGGCGGTATGGACCCAGGCGGTATGGACCCGGCAGGTATGGACCCGGGAGGCATGGACCAGGCAGGTATGGACCCGGCAGGTATGGACCCGGCAGGTATGGACCCACCAGGTATGGACCCGGCAGGTATGGACCCCGGGAGGGTTTTCATGATTGTTCGCGCGAAACATCGTCCAGAAGTCTCGTACAAAACGTCATCCACGAGGCCCGTGCGAAACATCGACCAGGAAACCCACACGAAACATCGACTAGGAAACCCACACGAAACATCGACTAGGAAACCCGCACGAAACATCACCCAGGAAATCCGTGCGAAACATCGACCAGGAAATCCGTGCGAAACATCGACCAGGAAATCCGTGCGAAACATCGTTTCTGTGGCGCGCACGAAACGACACGCCGGGAGTTCATTAGTATAGAGGCGTTCCCTCTGTGGAGGGCGGAGTGCTTACGCATGACTTAGGGATCAATAAAGTGCATGACGGAGTGCTGGCCCGGGGGGCAAGGTCGAGACTCTTATGGCAATTAACGATTAGATCCACCTTAATGGCTCATAAGCTTGCGAGTGCATTGCTTGTACTTACACCCAACGGTGCAGGCTAGCCCCCCCCCCCCATTGTGCAGGGTAGTCCCTGCTTCCTAGTGCAGGGTAGCCCCTGCCCCCATTTTGCAGGGTAGCCCCTGTCCCCCCCCCATTGTGCAGGGTAGTCCCTGCTTCCTAGTGCAGGGTAGCCCCTGCCCCAAAGTGCAGGGTAGCCCCTGCCCCCCCCCTAGTGCAGGGTAGCCCCTGCCCCCCTAGTGCAGGGTAGCCCCTGCCCCCCTAGTGCAGGGTAGCCCCTGCCCCCCTAGTGCAGGGTAGCCCCTGCCCTCTAGTGCAGGGTCGCCCCTCCCCCCAGTACAGGGTATAGCCCCTGCCCCCCTAGTGCAGGGTAGCCCCTGCCCTCTAGTGCAGGGTCGCCCCTCCCCCCAGTACAGGGTATAGCCCCTGCCCCCCTAGTGCAGGGTAGCCCCTGCCCTCTAGTGCAGGGTCGCCCCTCCCCCCAGTACAGGGTATAGCCCCTGCCCCCCTAGTGCAGGGTCGCCCCTGCCCAGACAGTCATGAAGGTGTGGACAGACAGCTTCACCGTCCCATCCTCCGAATTCACAGCACGTTTTAATATTAAGTGTAATAAGTACATTTCCTTACTGTCATACATAGTACATATTTGCACTTATGGGGCTGTTACATTTACCTCTGCATTTATTCTCCTCGTTTTCTGTTAAGACACTCAGAGTTTTAGGATGACGTTTTAAAGTTAAGATCGGTATACACAAGTTTTAAATATCAGAAATTCTTTCAGTTTTATTAAACAATAGAGATTTTATACAAAATTTGAAAATATCCTGAGTTACTTTACAATTTATTGAAATATTTTAGTTTTGTTTTATTTGTTTTATAAAACTGTAATATCAATATAGCTATAGGTTAAGTAGTAACTGTAATTAAGCAGCAATAAAATGCTTATCTTCAAAAACTAAAACGGTTAGGTTAGGTCGTGGTTTTCTATTCGGCTTTTCAGGTAAACTCAAATATTCAAAATTTGACAGAACGTTTTAATACTAAGTGAAAATAAGTACAATTCCTGACTGTCACACATAGTACATAATTGCACTTATGGGGCTGTTACATTTACCTCCCCATTTTTGGAGGACTTGCCGCACGCTGGCGCGCCACACACACAGCCGGGGCGCGCGCACACAACTTCTCAATTTTCATATTGGAAACCTGATGTGAAGTGGGGGAGAGGGGGGGAGGGGGGGGAGAGGGGAGGGGTAGTGCGGGTACAAAGGAGGGGGTAGGGAGGGGTGGAGTGTCGGGGGTGGGGGTGAAGGAGGAGGGGTGTCGGAGGTGTATGTAGGAAGATGAGGAATGATAATAATAATAATAATAATAATAATAACAACAATAATTCATTCTGTTGGGGGACAGGCAGCCAGTGTACATATACATATTAGGCTTATATCGATGTCCCCCCCCCACCCCCGTAAGGTCGAACTACTGACCTCTTTCCGAATGTAACTCCACAGCTGACTAACTCATGGGGGTACCCATTTACTGCTAGGTGAACAAGTACATCAGGTGATAGAAAATGCGCCCAACCATTTCTGTCCCGTATGGAGATGGGGTGTTGGGGATGAGGTGGGGGGGGGGGGGTAAACAGGTAGAGGTAGGGATGTGTGTGTGGGTGGTGAGGGGGCTAGGGTGAGGGGGTTAGGGTGAGGGGGCTAGGGCGAGGGGGCTAGGGTGAGGGGGCTAGGGTGAGGGGGGCTAGGGTGAAGGGGCTAGGGTGAGGGGGCAAGTGGTGAGGGGTTAGGGCGAGGGGCTAGGGTGAGGGGGTTAGGGTGAAGGGCTAGGGTGAGGGGGTTTAGGGTGAGGGGGCTAGGGCGAGGGGGGCTAGGGTGAGGGGGCTAGGGTGAGGGGGGCTAGGGTGAAGGGGCTAGGGTGAGGGGGGCAAGGGTGAGGGGGTTAGGGCGAGGGGGCTAGGGTGAGGGGGTTAGGGTGAAGGGGCTAGGGTAAGGGGTGTTAGGGTGAGGGGGCTAGGGCGAGGGGGGCTAGGGTGAGGGGGCTAGGGTGAGGGGGCTAGGGTGAAGGGGGCTAGGGTGAAGGGGCTAGGGTGAGGGGCTAGGGTGAAAGGGGCTAGGGTGAGGGGGTTAGGGTGAGGGGGCTAGGGTGAGGGGGCTAGGGTGAGTGGGGCTAGGGTGAAGGGGCTAGGGTGAAGGGGGCTAGGGTGAAGGGGCTAGGGTGAGGGGGCTAGGGTGAAGGGGCTAGGGTGAGGGGGTTAGGGTGAGGGGGCTAGGGTGAGGGGGCGAGGGTATGGGGGCTAGGGTAAGGGGCTAGGGTGAGGGGGGCTAGGGTGAGGGGGGCTAGAGTGAAGGGGCTAGGGTGAGGGGGCTAGGTTGAGGGGGTTAGGGGGCGGTGAGGGGTTAGGGCGAGGGGGCTAGGGTGAGGGGGCTAGGGTGAAGGGCTAGGGTGAGGGGGGGCTAGGGTGAAGCGGCTAGATCAGGCCCCATCAGCTATCAGTGTGAGTGTGTGTGTGTGTGTGTGTGTGTGTGTGTGTGTGTGTGTGTGTGTGTGTGTGTGTGTGTGTGTGTGTGTGTGTGTTGAGTGTGAGTGAGTGCGTGAGTGTGTGTGTTGAGTGTGAGTGAGTGCGTGTGTGTGTGTGTTGAGTGTGAGTGAGTGCGTGTGTGTGTGTGAGTGTGTGTGTGTGTGTGTGAGTGTGTGTGAGTGTGTGTGTGTGTGTGTGTGTGTGTGTGTGTGTGTGTGTGTGTGTGTGTGTGTGTGTGTGTGTGTGTGTGTGTGTGTGTGAGTGTGAGTGTGTGTGTGCGTGCGTGCGTGTGAGTGTGTGTGTGGTGTGTGTGTGTGTGTGGTGTGTGGTGTGTGTGTGGTGTGTGTGTGTGTGTGTGTGTGTGTGTGTGTGTGTGTGTGTGTGTGCGGGAATGAGTGTACCGCAGCACGAGGCAATCGATTAAGCGCAGCAGAGGAGTTGAGGCAAAGTTACGAAAGCAACACTAAATTTCAGTACTATTGGCTGCCCTCCCAGCTCACCTCCCTCTTGGCTGCCCTCTCAGCTCACCTGCCTCTTGGCTGCCCTCCCAGCTCACCTCCCTCTTGGCTGCCCTCTCAGCTCACCTGCCTCTTGGCTGCCCTCCCAGCTCACCTGCCCTCTTGGCTGCCCTCCCAGCTCACCTGCCTCTTGGCTGCCCTCCCAGCTCACCTGCCACTTGGCTGCCCTCCCAGCTCACCTGCCTCTTGGCTGCCCTCCCAGCTCACCTGCCCTCTTGGCTGCCCTCCCAGCTTACCTGCCTCTTGGCTGCCCTCCCAGCTCACCTGCCTCTTGGCTGCCCTCCCAGCTCACCTGCCCTCTTGGCTGCCCTCCCAGCTCACCTGCCCTCTTGGCTGCCCTCCCAGCTCACCTGCCCTCTTGGCTGCCCTCCCAGCTTACCTGCCTCTTGGCTGCCCTCCCAGCTTACCTGCCCTCTTGGCTGCCCTCCCAGCTCACCTGCCCTCTTGGCTGCCCTCCCAGCTCACCTGCCCTCTTGGCTGCCCTCCCAGCTCACCTGCCTCTTGGCTGCCCTCCCAGCTCACCTGCCTCTTGGCTGCCCTCCCAGCTTACCTGCCCTCTTGGCTGCCCTCCCAGCTTACCTGCCCTCCCAGCTTACCTGCCCTCTTGGCTGCCCTCCCAGCTCACCTGCCTCTTGGCTGCCCTCCCAGCTCACCTACCTCTTGGCTGCCCTCCCAGCTCACCTGTCCTCTTGGCTGCCCTCCCAGCTTACCTGCCCTCTTGGCTGCCCTCCCAGCTTACCTGCCCTCTTGGCTGCCCTCCCAGCTCACCTGCCTCTTGGCTGCCCTCCCAGCTTACCTGCCCTCCCCCGCTCACCTGCCCTCTTGGCTGCCCTCCCAGCTTACCTGCCCTCTTGGCTGCCCTCCCAGCTTACCTGCCCTCTTGGCTGCCCTCCCAGCTTACCTGCCCTCTTGGCTGCCCTCCCAGCTCACCTGCCTCTTGGCTGCCCTCCCAGCTCACCTGCCTCTTGGCTGCCCTCCCAGCTTACCTGGCCTCTTGGCTGCCCTCCCAGCTCACCTGCCCTCTTGGCTGCCCTCCCAGCTTACCTGCCTCTTGGCTGCCCTCCCAGCTTACCTGCCCTCTTGGCTGCCCTCCCAGCTCACCTGCCCTCTTGGCTGCCCTCCCAGCTTACCTGCCCTCTTGGCTGCCCTCTTAGCTCACCTCCCTCTTGGCTGCCTTCCCAGCTTACCTGCCCTCTTGGCTGCCCTCCCAGCTTACCTGCCCTCTTGGCTGCCCTCCCAGCTTACCTGCCCTCTTGGCTGCCCTCTCAGCTCACCTCCCTCTTGGCTGCCTTCCCAGCTTACCTGCCCTCTTGGCTGCCCTCTCAGCTCACCTCCCTCTTGGCTGCCCTCCCAGCTTACCTGCCCTCTTGGCTGCCCTCCCAGCTCACCTGCCCTCTTGGCTGCCCTCCCAGCTCACCTGCCCTCTTGGCTGCCCTCCCAGCTCACCTGCCCTCTTGGCTGCCCTCCCAGCTTACCTGCCCTCTTGGCTGCCCTCCCAGCTTACCTGCCCTCTTGGCTGCCC